TGATTATGCAGGGGCAACAATTCAATTAAGTGGTAAAATACAATTCTATGATAGTTTTCCCTGAAATCAATCCAGATACCCCCCGCAATAGACAAATGGATTAAGAAATTGTGGTGTATATATACAATGAAGTTCTATGCAACCATAAAAGAAGAATGAAATTATGGCATTTGCTGCTACATGGATGAAAATAGAGAATATCCTGCTAAGTGAAATAAGTCAAACACAGAAACTCAAAGGTCAAATGTCATATGTGAAAACTAGTGTAAAACAAAGGAAAGGGGGGATAGAATAATATAAAGAACTGATCAAATATAAATTAACAGATGAAAGAAAATAAGTCAAGTAAAGGAAGGAAAATGGAAGACGGGAGGGAGGATGGAAGGGAAAAGGGGGACCATAAACTGGAATCCATTTCCATGTACATGTGAGTTTCTCGGGATGATGTCAACTACTATGTATAACTATAAAGCTCCAATAAAAAATATAGATTTCTTATAAATGTGCATAAAAACAATAACCAAAAGTAAAAGTACAGTATCCACATAAGAGATGAAAAGCAAGTATAACAAACAGTGACTGTACAAGGGGAATGGAATTCTGTTTTCCATTTTTTATAACATTTTCTTGAATTTTTAGAAAAACATAAATATACTTAAGCAACAGTACTTAATATCTTTGGAATTAAAAAAGGAATTACAGAGGCAGTGGCCTTTGCTAAAATTACAAACTAATTTTCTTGGGTTCACATTGTATGGAAAGCTGGTGAGACTTCACATTCCTCAGTACACAATGGATCTTTCATCAATATTGGAAAATGGTTTTGTGAGAATATTTGCAAAGAATGGATGGAATTCTCAATGTTGCAAGCACCCATTGAATTATTTAAAAGAACAATGTATGAATGACTAATTAGAAGTGTTTCTTGAGTACAGTGGTATTTATATTGCAAAAGAAAAGATTTAAGTCTAGCATTTTCTCCAGAGTAATCAGGAAAAACAGATTAAGGATGTTAACTGTGGGCATCAGTTCCTAAATGATTTGCCATTAAAACTCTATGAGCCACCTTCTCCTCGGCCAATTAATGATTTTAAGTCCTACTTGACTAGTAAACATTGCTTATTTGTTTTCTTGTTTGTTTACACACACTTTGTTCTGCCCTACCCAAAAATAGGATTTAAGATGACTTCAAAGAAATATACACTATAAGATAAATACATTCAAAATAAGAAAAAAGAAACAAAGGGAGACTAAAACTGGAAAGACAAGATGAAGTTAGGTACAAGGAAAGTGCACAGAAAGAAGGACATTGATTCCTATATTTTAAAGTGAATCATAAACCAAATTCTAAGATTTCAGGCAATAATTCTAACTCCAAAAAACAAGTTAAATATTCAACATTCATTAGATTTAAAAAAAAATCTTTTTCAAGGGCATCAGACCTGATACTAGATTAAAAATAAATAAATATTTTACTGGGCACAGTAGTGCACACCTATAATCCAGCTACTTGGAAGGCTGAGGCAGGAAGATGGCAAGTTTGAGGTCAACCTGGGCAACTTAGCAAGACCCTGTCTCAAAATTTTAAAACAATTTTAAAAAGGTCTGTGGAGGGTGGAGAGAGGGCATGGGGGCAGGAAAAGTGGTGGAATGAAATGGACATCATTACTCTAGGAACATGTATGACTACACATATGAAAACTTGTGCTGCAACTGTATACAATGAATCAAAGTGCATTATGCTGTCATATACACCTAATTAAAATAAATTAATTAATAAGAAAAGAAAGGTCTGTGAATATAGCTCTGTGGTAAAGTGTCCCTGGTACTAAGTAAATAAAACAATATTCTTTTTTTTTTTAAGAGAGAGAGAGAGAGAGAGAGAGAATTTCAATATTTATTTTTCATTTTTTTTTTTGGCAAACACAACATCTTTGTTTGTATGTGGTGCTAAGGATCGAACCCGGGCCGCACACATGCCAGGTGAGCACGCTACCGCTTGAGCCACATCCCCAGCCCAATAAAACAATATTCTAGTAAAATTTCACATTATTTAAATAATCAACATTTATATTTTAAAGTAACACCTTAAATTGAACACAGAAAATTTCCACAAACTTTTTCCCTATAAAATCATCAGTATAAGCCAAAATTATGGTAAAGCCAATTCTGCAATATTAATTCTGCAAAGACTGACATGATTTTGTCTACATATATATGTAATTTTCTTACTGTCTTGTAACAGGGGTCCAATACATGCTTTGGACATAACCCTTGTGGCTTATTTTAAAACTGAAAGGCACTGACTTCCTTTCTCTTCTCCCTCTCTCCTTCTTTAACCAAGGTGGGGACTGGTAAGCAAGAATACTCTTCTTCCCATCTTAGGCCAACTTATCTGTCCTCCAGAAATACACCTCATAGGGATGAAGCAATTCAGATTTCAGGGATGGTACCAGAAGATCTAAGAAATGACTATATCTCAAAGCCACACATGAATTACTCCCTCTGACATGGCACATCTGAAATGTAGCCTTTGAATCATCTCTTTAAAAGCCCTCTGTTCCCCATAATGGTCAGAATCAGAGCCTCTGAGACAGAAGTCCCTTGTGTTTATCCTTTGCTACCAAAGCAATAAAACTTCTTTTTCCTTTTTTCTCAAAACTGTGTCCTCACTATTAGATTGGCACTGGGGACAAGGACCAAGCTTTCAGTAACAGTCTAGCTTGGTGTAGAAAAGTAGTTCTTAAGAAGAGAGATGCTCTAGCAACAAATGAAAAAGGAAAGGAGAAAATGAAAAAAGTGTTGTAACTAATGTACCTGATAAAGATACAAAAGCCAAGATATTTTTACTTGCATAATAATAAGCCAAAATAAAATTCTTGCATATCTTTGGTAAATTTATTCCTACACATTATAATTGTTTCTGCCAATATTGTAAATAATGTCACTTAGAAAATTAGATATTTTAATTATTTACCATTTTTGTATATTGATCTTGTATCTAACAACCTTGCTGAACTCTATAATGAGTTTCAATAATTTTTCTGCCTTATATTTAAAACTTCTTCATGTCATTTCTTTTTCTTTGTGAAGTTAAAGAAAAAATGTTTCCCCTATTACCCAGAAATTTCTTAAATTCTTAAAATCCAATATACTGCTCTCTGGTCCAAATTTTTAATCCTTCTAACTCTCTCACTCCTAGCCTTCTACTAATACTAACCTTCAGTCCTATTGCTCCATTCTTCTTCCAAGAATGAGTCCCATCTAGACTTCATTGCATTCCTAATATATACATTAAACATTCAACCACTCTCCTGGATCTTTGATCCCTTGTCGTTTTAACACATCTACCATGCAAAGGCTCAAGTATGAGGTAATTTGGTTTCCCCTTTTCACTCCCACACCTAAATATTAGAATACTACCTGAGAAAAAAACAAATTATAAATTTTTGGAATCTCATCCAAAACACATATTTTGCATTGCTCTGCAATCCCACTACACATTGCTTAATAATTTTCACCTTCCATTTCTCTTGCTCACTATTCCAAACTTTCTCCACTTCCCCTCAAGCCCTTATTTCACTTTCATTTTTCCCTTCACATATGGATCTCATTTTACTGATACCCCTAGATTTGTAATTTATACTCCAGTAAAACTAAACTACTTGTGAGTACCTAAATGTACTTCGAATTTCTTTGCACATGCTCTTCCCTCTTCCTGGATATCTTCTTCCAATATGCTCAACCAAAGAGACTTTACTTACCTTCAAACCTCAGTTCAATGCTACATGACCTATGAAACCTTCCTCAATACAGATCCTTTCTCCTGCTTGCCCAAAAAACTCTGCACCTGCCTCTATGTACAGGCAGTGTTGCACTATAACTGCTTACTTATTTATTTCTGCACAATACTGCTAGCTCCTTAGAGGACAGGAACACTTTTTTTCAAGTTTTCTATTCCATCCATCTCATTGGTGTTAGTTAATTGCCATATTGAAGGAATGAATTATTCCTACCAAAGTGTAATTCCTGGAACCCAACATTATGTAGAAGAAATTAATTTAGAGGGAATAAATTTATAAAAACCTTAGTAAAATGAAAATGAATGTTTCACCAGTAATCAATAGTGAATATTACATTCACAATCCAAATGAAATGCTCTTGTGTAACAACACTTCGAGGAAATAACAAAAATCTTCTATTAAAAAGATAACTAAATAACTCTATATTTGATATACCTGAATGGATAATAAACTTAGAAAACTTAAACCACATACTGAACAGTACAACTGGTCATTACTTTCAGCTAGAATGAATGATGATCGTGGTCTATAAATAAACCCTGACATTCATAAAACATCCATCACATATATCTTAAGAGCACAAAAGAAAACTTGCCAACAATGAAAACTAATCTTTATTCCAAGCTTTCCTCAATTAAAGGTGGGATTTTTAATGAGCAATTATTAAACTGCATAGAAGCAACATAGTATCAAGTGGAAAGGTGGTGTATGCCTATAATCTCAGCTACTTAGGAGGCTGAAACAGGAAGATCTCAAGTTTAAGTCTGGCCTCAGAAATTTATGGAGACCCTGCCTCAAAATTTTTAAATTTTGTAAAGGTCTATATATTGATGATTCTTAATTCACTCATTCAATACTTATAAAGTACCAATTATATGTCAAATGTCATGATAAGCACTGGGATCCTTCAACCTTATGAAGAGAAAAAGTAAGCCCCAGAATTAACATATTCTTCAGGCCCAAGAATCAAGATAACTTTTCAGACCCTTTATTTAACCATGTACGTACATAAGCAAATATCAAAACAGCTCACTTACAAAATGAGGTTTTACTTGTACATACACAAGCAAATATCAAAACAGCTCACCTACAAAATGAGGTTTTACTGCCTCCCAAAAATTAAAAGATGTCACATTTCTATCATAAAAATGAAAAAAAAAATTGCTTCTTCAACAGATGAGTGTGTTTTTGTTTTACCTGCTATCTCCAGAAGTGGGATTATGTGGTCTCCTTCTGCCAGCTTCACAAAGCCAACCTGATTTCCAAAAGTGTCAATCCCTTGAAAGGGCAAAGTCAAATGTTTGCCTTGGAGGATTTCTTCTATGCATGGCTTTAGTTCCAAAAGTGCATTAATACCACTGGTAAGAAACAATTTCTTTTTCAGTAACGTGTTAAGTAATAAAATACACAAAACCAATTAAACAACAAAGTAATTCATTTCAGAAAGATAAATTACTTTTATATTTGTACTAATTATTTTAAAACAAAAAATATCTTCTAGATTTATCCTATATGATCAAAACTAACATCAACTATTTCTTTTTTTTTTTTTTTTTGTTATTGGAGATTAAACCAGTGGTACTTTGCAGTCCCCGAATTCTTTTTATTTTTTAATTTTGAGATAGGATGTTGCTAAGTTGCTGAGATCTTGTTAGATTACCTAGGCTGGCCTCAAACTTGGAATCCTCCTGCCTCAACCTCCCAAGTTGCTGGGTTTACAGGTGTGTGCCACTGCACCCTGCACAAAACTAATATTAATTTTTTAAATATTTTTTAGACATTGATGGACCTTTATTTTATTCATTTATTTATATGTGGTGCTAAGAATTGAATCTGCCTAGCATGTGTGAGGCACTGGGTTTGATTCTCGGAACTGCATGTAATAAATAAAAATAAATACACGTCTATCAACAACTAAAAAAAAAGGAATTGAACCCAGTGCCTCACACATGCTAGGCAAGCACTCTACCACTGAGCCACAACCTTAGCCCCAAAACTAATATTAATTTTAAAAAAAAACTATATAAGCAAATTAAATCTTTATGTAATTATAATTGCTATTAAAAAATGAAAGTAAATACCATTTTATAGTCCATCAAGAACTTTTAACTAAGGAAATAGTGCATACACAACTCAAAAAGATTACTAATAATATATCCAAAGGGAAGAAAAACAAAGTACCTATAATAACCTATATTAGATTATTTGAAAAGTTCTAGAATTCTTATAAAAGTATTAATATCTACTAATACAGTACTATTTGCAAGGCATTCTATTAAAATTTAACATACATTATTCTTAAAATATAATAATCTCTATAACAATATAATTTATGGTATTTGGATTCAAATAAATTGTCTAATTATATTTCCCAATTGTAGCTATATGCTTGATATAGTTGTTTAGTCTATTTTATTTAGAGTTACTCTGTTTCAAATCTACTTTACTCATAAAGATAAGTATTTACTATATTGTTGAATTAGACATCAGATTTTGAATATTTTGAAAATTAGAATACATTATTTCCATATTGAACAGAATTTTGGTATAGTACTTTACTATGAGAAAAAAATTAAGACCTCACTAGAGGGCAGCAATTACTTAAAAAAGAAATAACCATGCTCTTACTATACAAAAACATCCTTTGGATAAACCATCATTAAATTATCTTGATCAATGATTTGTTCACCAAATGCATGAAAAAAATATGGTATTTATGTATTTTTATAGATCTTTCATATTTCTAATGTTCCTTGGAACATTTTTAACTGATTTTTCTCTCATGACTTTCATACTCATTTCTCTGTCATAACATCATGTCAATATAACACTTCTTAGAACAGCTTTGTAAATGTATGGTACCTCCAAATATACATCCTAAATCCAGTCTTACCTTATTGTATTTATGGTCATTCAAAAGGACACAGTGCACATACTTCTAATTCAATATTGTGCTTTGCTGTGTGCTGTGAGTTAAGGCGTGTGAAAACAGAAGAGCCACTTCCGGCTCATCTATCACAAACTGGAGGAATTCAACACATTCATTTTAAATAAAACTATATGCCAAGGCAGGCCATGAGAAAGGTTAAAACTGTCCAGAAACAGCAAATTTCATACTTTTTTTTTTTTAAAGAAACCTAGAAGACCTAACACAAAGAGGGCACTACTCCCCTCAGCCATTTGCTTTTTTGTGCTATACTTTTTGGCTTCTCCAAGAGCATCACAGCAAAGTGATCATCCAAATTGAGTCACGTAAAAATCTCTGTCCTCTCTGCCCTGCAAAGTATTCAAGGCCGCTGTTGGGTACAGATCAGCTTATGACAGATTAGAAGACTGATCTCTAAAGACATGAGATTCTATTGTGTAAAGGATATTACTCCAAGATTCAAACTGTTTCTGGATATTTTTTAATTTATTTTGTTTTCTCTCATTTACTTTACTTTTTCCTCACTCCCTTCCTAATTCAAGCCTTGTTCTTCATTCCCTTAGGAGACATTCATTTATTTATTTATTTATTTATTTATTTATTTATATTTCAAGCTAGAAAGCAGAAGTAACCTGCAAATTCATCTGGCTTTGACTTCCCAAAGAGCATAAGCTTGAGCTTCATATAATAAGAAAAGGGAGAATCATCAGCACAGAGTGTCCCACAGAACTGGGAAAGAGTAAGGTTTCTCCACCCAGATTGGAAAGTAGTAACCAATGACATATATCTGATCTTTATGGCATGATCCTGAATTGGGTGTGGATGGAGTACAGGGACTCTAAAAATGACTGAGGTCAAACTGAAATAGTTCACTCACATAAAAATGGCAGCTCTAATGGTCACCAATTATCTAGTGCCTCATATATGCCAGACCCTATACTAAGAGCCCCTTTGTGTATTGGTACTATGGTTTTCTCCATCTATCAAAAAAATAAATGATTTGCCCAAAGTCAGGCAGCTAACAAAAGGCAGCTGTGTCATAGTTTCAGTTTTTTTTACCTAGAATCTCAACCTAGATTCCAGAATCAACTCCAGACTGCTTATATAATTAACATGGGCAAATCTCCCACATAACCAAGAACTACCATTTGATAACAACAACAAAAGGTGAAAAGTCTAATTTAAGAAAAATATTTATTTAGTTAATTCTGTACGTGGATTATTATAACAATATAATTTTGGGGACAGATTACAACAAAGAATACTTCTTTAGAATTTCAATACCTCTTTAGGTTCTCCTATGTTTACCCACATTAAGGTAATAATTTAGAAAATAATAGTCAAGAAAATACATTACTCACATGTTTACTTCATCTTCATTTAATAACTGCATCACTAGCAGGGTAATATGAAAGGAACCATCACTGACCATTGCTTTGGCCAGTCGCTTATCTTGTTGTATTATTGCATTTTGCAGGATCTTAATTCCTCCTATAATCTAATCACACATGGAAAACAAAAACAAAAAAATAGGTAAGCAAAACTTTTGTATGACAAATTGTAAATCAAGAGGAAAATAAGCAACCACTCAAATTAGAACAATGTCAAAATTCAGCAACCAAACAAATGTTTATAATTATTTACTTGTTCACATATGCTAGATAGTTGACTTGCATGGTTGAATATGATGTATTAATATAGAAAGTCACAAAATGCTTAACCATCTTAAGAACATTGAACCTAACATCCTTATTTTTCAGCTGGGTCACTGGTTGAATAGAAAAAAATCTCAATGGTCAAGTATCTTTTTAGAAATTTGTCCCTGTGATACAGGGTATGACTCACTAATTATGATCTTTTCTAAGAAGAAAGCTTTATTCTTGTCATAGAAAGGTCAAACCAGCAGACAACATTCTTTCTGTTAGAAGTAATATTTATCTGTCTCCAAGTGATTATGTCTGAGAACCTATTCCTCATAGCCTTTAAAATTTTTTAGGATAGACATAATTTTAACAAGAATGACTGCTGTCATTTTTCCTGACATTTGAGAAGTGGCATAACCATGGAAATAGAGTTAAAAGAAGTTCAAATGCAAATGTTAGGAGAAGTGTAAAGTCTGCACCCAGGTGAAACCCCCAGAGACCAGGACCTTCATCTGCTCCCACTCTTAGAACCTACTTCTGCTTCACTTCAAGCTAGATTCAGTTCTAGTCAAAGTCCAAATGTGAACAATCTAGAGAGTAGTCTGAATATAAAATAGCAGACCCAGAGAAAAGGGAGTACACAAAAGCCCTGAAACAGCAGAATTACTAAGAAAGAAACAGAAAAGAAAGGACTGGTAATGGGAACAGAGTATAGAAAAGCAGAGATAAGTCAGAACTGAATCATGAGCACAGCAGGCTGTTCTGATATGAGAGTAGCTGCTTTATCCTAAACAATGTTCCCATTATTTGTGGAATGTGACTGGGCAAATCATGAGATGCTGTCCTGGGATCTGACTTCCCATTGACAAAGACTCTCTCCTGTAACTAAACTTTAGGCAGGCTCCTCTGAGTTGGCTGCTTGAGTAGGCCCAATCTTGAGCTTCTCTCTTTGTCCTTGTAGAACCATTTTGAACATAAATTTAATGAAGTCACTTTAGAAAAAATCCCCCACCCTTAGTATCTGACTACCCACAATACCTTAGATATCTTCTCACCATGGCCTGCATACAATAACCATTCTGTCAAATGGGTTTAGCCAGAAACACCTTATCCTTGGTTTTTCCTCTTAGTAATCTTCTATCCAGTGACCCCAATCCTAGCTCTTTGGTTGTAAATCCCGCCTTCTTCTTTCGTTCTAGAGTCAGAGTTGAGCCAAATTTCTCTCCCCAACACAAGACCCTGTTGCAATGGCCTCTGTATCTATCTCCATGGTTCCTTTGAATAGTCTCCCCTGACATCTTTAACAAGTGGCATGAAAAGTTTTTTCTGTAACACTGTGTACCTTTACAAAAATCCATATCATCTAAAATAACCTCAGTCATCTCTATTCCTTATAATCTGAAAGACTAACAAAGAAAATGGTGTTTTCATGATAGGAAGTATTAAAATAAAATTCAAATGGAAACCAAGTCTGAAAAATTCCTAAGCAAACAACACTAGTGAGTCCTTCTTTCTGCTTATGTTAAACAGAAACAAATTAACTTCAGACAATCATAACAGCCAACCAATACATGATTATGTGACATGTATGTGACATGCCAAGGATGTTCTGGCATTATAAACCAAAAAAGGTAATTTTGTAACTGCACCCAATCAAATAATTTCATTATTTTGCTTCCATATTTTTCCTATAAATACTTATCTCTAACACTATGAAACAGAAACACTAAATCTCTCTTAGTCTGGCACTCCCAATTCATGAATTGTTTCTTTCTCAAACTTGTTAAAATTTTATTGTGTCCCAGATTTTCCTCTTATAGTTTGGTGGCAGTGGTGATATTCAAAAGAGACCCCTGGTGACTGCCAGGAGCTTCAGGGAATCCAGCAAAAGGTGCCCACTGCGCCTACTGTTCTCACTACTTTCAGGCAGGATAGGATAAACCTGAGAAATGTATCCACAGCCCTTCAAGAGCTACTTCTTGGAATGGCCCAAAAGATGCCAGAAAAACAATCCCCATTGTCTTCTCATAAAAGACAGAATGGTCTATTATTCAATCATGTAAACAGAAAAAAAGATGAGTCAGTCTGATTACAGGGCTAGGTTAGAAATGTCATTTGTTAAGCATTCTGGTCTTCTGGTCTTAAAAGCAGAAAATATTTCTTTTAAAAAAAACTTTTTTTTTTTTTGATACAATATCTTTTTTTTCTTTTTATGGGATGCTAAGGAACTGAGGTGGCTCTTACAGTCTTACTCACTAATGGGCCTTGGACCAGTACTGGTGACCTGATAAGAAAACACTGCTATGGCTGAATCAGTCATAGTAGCAGAACACTTTTGAGAAAAATTCTATAAACAAGAAAGTTTAAATACTAAAAGAATCCAAAGGCTCTTTACAGCTACACAGCCATGGAGACAAAAAACCAAGAGGACCTCCTGGTGCATATCAGAATCAAAAGTAGGTCCTAAAAGAAGAAGCCCTGTACCTTGAAATGTTGTCTGTTATCACTGTAAAGAATCACACCACTGGAGAAGATGGTCCACTCTCACATCTGTCTTATGAAAAACCTCACCTTTTGGCATAGACTGTTCCCCAGTAGAGGAAACTTCTGAAGGCTTGACTATTAAGATTGAAATCAATATTGATGGGGCTCCAAGGGATTCTCTAATAACTTATCTTGAGTAATACCCTTAAATAAACACAGGGAAACTAAATCAAAATCAGTAGGGAATCATGTACTGTTGGTGGATAAGGAATCCTTCAAATCCTGTCCTCAAAAACAAAAAAACCTCTTAGTGAATGTTACACAGCTCTTTGTTGCTGTGACCAAAATACCTGATAAGAACAACTTAAAGGAGAAAAAATTTACTTGGGGCTCACAGTTTCAGAAGTTTAGTCCATGGAAAAGCTTCAGTTCTCTAAAGAAAAGGTCCATTGTTTGTGTTAATATCTGACTGCAGAGGAATTTTACTTTGACCCAAAAGAATAAAGACAATCCAGGTTTCCCTAAACATGCAACTAAAATATGAGGCTTCTGTGGCACTGGGCACTGTAGCACATGCCTATAATTCCAGCAACTCAGGAGACTGAGGCAGGAAGATCCCAATCTTTAGGCCAGAGCCAGCCTCAGTAATTTAGAGAGACACTGAGCAACTTAGTGAGACCCTGTCTCAAAAAAATATATAAAGCCTGGGTATATGGTTCAGTGGTAAAGCCCCTCTATGTTTAATCCCTGGTACCAAAAAAAAAAAAAGCTTCTGTGGATTTGACAGCTACTACAGATCTTAACCAAAGTTTCTCTTTGCTGGTTTCTCCTTTACATGAACTTATACAAAACTCTGTCCCAGAGCCTTTGCTAAGGGAAGATAATCATGAACAGGAATTCAATCAATTAAAATTGGCCTGATACAACCTCTGGCTTTAGGGCTCCAGTTTATCCAAAACCTTTTAACTAGTTGTTCACAATCGTAATAATGAGACTTTGGGAATCCTGCCTCAGAAACATGGCAGAAAATAATCCTGAATTAATATATTCTGTTGATGGATCTTACACCAAAAATATAGAAGGAAAATACCAAGCTGGACATGTTGAAACTACTCAAAATGAACTAATAGAAAAGGGAATTCTTCCATAATTTAAGTCATCACAACCTGTAGAATTATATGCTTTTATTACAGCTTGTTATAAGCCTTACACAAATCAATCTCCTATCAGCCCATAAATATGTTTCAGAGTGGTCCATGACTTTGGAAAGCTTGGAAAACAAAGAGGTTTTATAAATGCTAGTAGTACCCCCATCAAAAATGGAGCCAGAGTGGATGAGTTTCTTTCACCTATTCTGTTGCCCTCACAGGTTGCTATTATTAAAATTGAAGCTCATACTCATAAAAAATGAACCTGAATATCAAGGAAACACATTAGCAGACTTTCCTGCTCAGTCTTCCAGTTCTGAAAATGTTAAATTGGAACTTGAAAGAACTCCATAAAGTTGATCCAAATCAAATTACTTATGTAATTTGTTGAATACACAAGGATGTGTACCTAAGTTGGAACAATAAAAATGGTATCAAAAAGGATGCAAATTTAATGCAAAACAAGGACTCACTGAGTGCCTAGACAGTCACAGGTCCTCCCTGAGTTCCTAAAGTTGACATGTTAAAGGGTGTGCACACCAAAAAAAAAAATAGAAAAATGATCCAAACTATGAAAAAATACTGATGGAGTGATTATTCTAAATCAGGAAACATGGTTATAACTAGTGTTTTTCCTGGCAAACTCATAATCCCAGAAAAACCATTAAGGATTCAAGTGGGTATATTTCTACCACGTGCTGGACCACTTAAAAATGTACAGATGGATTTCATTCCATTACCACCAACAATTGGACCTCAGTATGTTCTTGTGGCAAATGCCTAGTCTTAGGATGAAATGAAGCTTTCCTTTGTGGAAAGGCTGATGCCACAACAGTAGAACAACTATTATTAGAAATTGTGTTTCCTTTGTGAGGAATCCCTGGAGAGATCTCCTACAACAGGGGAATCCACTTACTGAACAGGTTGCCAAACAATTAAATGAGATTTTATATTTACCCAAAAGCACTATCATTCCCCTTATCATTCTTAGATCCTCTGGAAAGGCTGAACAGACAAACGATATCTTGAAACTGAAATTAAGTAAACCAACAAGTCAACTGGATTATCTTGGTCAAAAGTTTTACCGCTGCTCTCAAAGGCAATTAGATCAACTCATATGAGAAAAAAAAACTGATCCTTATTAAATATTTACTGTAAGGCCTATGCTTTGATAGTAGAACCTTGTATGTCCCCTGCACTTGTTAGCTTTTATATGACTCAAT